GGGGCTTACAAGTCTGGCTCCAGGTGTGAGGCTGGGCTCATGGATGGACCTTGAGGACATTATGCTAAGTGAAGTCAGCTAGTCACAAAAAGACAAATCCTGTATGATTCCACTCGGGTGAGGTATCAGAGTGGTGCAAATCATGGAGACAGAAAGTAGGAAGGTGGGGGCTGGGGAAGGGGGAGGGGAAATGGGGAGCTAGCATCCAGTGGGATTGGAGGTCCAGTTTTACAGGGTGAGTGCTGGAGAAGGATGATGATGAGGGCTGCACAACCATGTGAACGTACTTAATGCCGCTGAACCGTATACTTAGAAATGGTTAGGATGGTAAATTTTATGTTGTGTGCACTTTACCGCAAGAAAACAATTTGGGAAAAAAACTTACCTGGAAGATTTAACTTTTTTTTTTTTAATTAATTTATTTATTTGAGAGAGAGAGAGCGCAAGTCGGGGGAAGGGCAGAGGGAGAGGGAGAGAGAGAATCTCCAGTAGACTTCCGGGTGAGTGTGGAGCCTGACACGGGGCTCCCTGACATCATGACCTGAGCCAAAATCGCAAGTCGGATGCTTAGCCAACTGAGCCACCCAGTCACCCCAATATTTAACATTCTTATAAGGGAACCATGACAAGCAATGGTCCCCTTAGGCTGAATTTGTAAGTGCCAGAGTCAGTTGGGTATTTAAAGCATAGGGGATCAGGGAAAGAGACTTCGTGTGCTACTCTGAAGGATGGTGAACTTCACTCTGGGTGAGGTCTCAGACATGTACTTCGGAAGCAGAATTTATTTGTTTCTTTGATTTTGTTGTTGTTTTTTGACCTTTGCATCTGAAATGCTCTACTACCCATGAGGGCTGGCTAGGTCAAGAGTGCGTGTGACTCTTGCTCTCAGGGTTGTGAGTTCAAGCCCCATGTTAGGCATGCAGCCTACTTAAAAAATTGTGAAATGCTCATGGATTATTGCATTTGAGGCCTGGACCAGCTAACATCTCAGGAGGCCTGGGGGCTGTCTCCTTGTGGGGGTTGATTGTGAGTCTCTCTAGCCATGTGCAATTTCAAAATTGCATTTGAAGCAAGCCAGGCACCAGGAGTTGGGATGGGGAGGATGATGAAGCAACTCAAGAAGGGAGGGAGAGGGGGTGATCTGGAATATTAGCAGTCAGCTAATTCGAGGACTGTAAATCATGCCATGATTGATTAGTGATGTCTGCCCCTGGTGGGAGAGGGCTTGGCATCAGTGTGCGTGCCAGAAGAAACCCATCTGTAGCACACAGCATTGCACTCTCAGAGACCGCTTTACTTAAATACAAAGAATCTCAAGTCCAGACTTCACTGAGGTCACAAGGCAAGGTCACTGTGGCAAGAGGAAAACACAAGCTTGAGGAAGACAGTGGAAGTTCATTGAAGTGGAAGTCAGTTCGGCAGACACTTCTCAGGCAGTGAGCAAAGAGCCCTGGGGGACCAGGGAGGTGCCTGCCAGCCAGGGTCTCTGATCTAGTGCAGGGGAGGGATCGCTGGATGGAGTGATGGAGTGAGAACTGCCACAGGTGGGCTCTGCTGCCACACGTCACCCGCTTGGGTGGTAAGTTCAGGACAGAGCAAGGTGACTAGTTTGGGAGGTGAGATGAGCTTCCTGGAGGAGCCAAGCTTTGAAGGAGAAGGGCAGGCGAGGAGCAGGTTGAGTTGGTAAGACCCTGTCAGTAATGAAAGGGATTGCAGGAACGTGGGACGGGACAGGTGTGGGTAGGAAGCACCCAGTGCACAGAGCTGCCATCTGGCACCATATGGAGAGGCCTACGGCCCTAAGTAAACGTGGTTGATTCACAGGAGGATTGTGGCGCAGTGGGAGGAGAAGGAGCTCTCAGGGCACGGGGGGAGGAGAAAGTTTTCACTTAGAACCTAGGGCTTCTGGCTGGTGGTGCCACTGGGAGGGGCCAGTCCCCATTTTATTGATAAGGTCTGAGGTCACACACCACTCCCCTTTGTTCCCTCAGCCCCCCCATTGACGGCCCTCCCTTTTCCCTACACCCCCTCATTGTCTCCTGCTGGTGTCTGTGAGGGGCCGAGCGCTTGGGCCCCTCTGCTGGGAGGCTGCGCTACTCAACCTTTCCACCGGCCAGTGTGTTCCCTTTCCTTCAGATTGATTAAAGGCTGAAATGCACCTGCAAACTCCTCACTCTCCCTGGAAGCTAGGTTGGTTTCCATGTGAGGGGCTGGTGAGTCGGGCGTGCTAAGTATGATGCAGTAAGGGAGGAGAGTGTGCTCACCAGCTCTGACCAACGTGAAGAAAATGAAGAGAATCAAAAACAAAACCAAACCCCCACATCGTGGGCCTTCTCTGTCAAGGTGCTGGTATCTCCGTTTGCTGGGAGAAGCACAGGGCTGGGGTCACTGAGCCTGCTTCAGGTTCATTTCTTATCCACTGGGGCTTTGTTCAGCAGGCTCTGGGGTGATGTTGGCTGTGGTCTGCAGGGGAGTGGCCACCAAGGAAGATAGCAGATGGGGCTTTTCAGGGGCTGGCTCCTGGGGAGGTGGATGTTGGGAGTCAGAGACCAGCCCAAGCCGGCCTGGGTCTGGGCTTGTCTGCCCAGGCTGCTTTGTTTGTAGGATTTGGGAGACCCTAGCCCTCAGGTGTTTGGTGTGACTATGAGGACAGGAGAAGGTCATGGGGTTGGGGCAGGGGCAAATGCTGACTGCGGGAGAAAGGGACACAACTGACCACCCTCACAAAGGGAGTTTGTGGAGAGATGGATGGTTGATCGCCATATTATTTTGCTAGAGCTGCTTGATTTCACACTTCTGACCCCCAAACTGGGTCAACCTAGTGAAAGGTATTGTCATCCCACAGTTCTGGAGTCCAGAAATCTGAAATCAGGATGTTGGAAGAGCCATGTATCTCTGTGAAGGCACCAAGGAAGGATCTGGTCCAGGTCTCTCTCCCAGTTCCCAGTAGATCCTTGGCTTGTGGCAGCATGCCTCTGATTTCCCCATGGCATCCTCCCTCTGTGCGTGTCTGTCTCTGTGTCCAAATTTCCTCTTTTTATGAGACCAGTCATATTGCATTAGGGCCCACACGTATGACCTCATCTTAACTAATTCCATCTGCAACCACCCTATTCCCAAATAGAGTCACATTCTGAGTACCGGGGGTTAGAACTTCAACATATGCATTGGAGGGGGCCACCATGCAAACCCAACAATCACTGAGGAATACTTGTGGGGCTCCTAGGAAGTCCTGGCCGGGACAGAGTGGAGACAGTTGGAGACCACCAGCTCACCCAGGGCTTGGGGCTCCTGGACACTTCCCAGGCTGCTGTGCTCCATAGAGGCCCTGAAGTTACCTAGAACATCCTGTTGTGTCCTGCCCTTTCCACACTCCGTCCCCTTTGCCAGGATGACCCTGTCCCTGCTTTTCCCTCTGCTTGCCTGACCCTCCTGAATACTTGCAACCTCTGCTCACAGAAAGTCCCCAGGAAAGTTGTCTGTGCTACTATGGCCCCTTGAATCAGTGTACGTATCACACTGTCTTGTAATTATTTACTACATATGTGTCATCATACACCATTCTTTGCAGGTAGGGCCTGTGACTTTTCTACTTCTGTGTCTTCAGTGTCTGGCCAGGCCTAGGCCTATGGATAGGTCTCAAAAGAAGATTGTCCAGTGTAGGAGCTAAAGGACCTGAGACATGGCAGGTTTGGGGAGAGATCAGTCATAAAGACAGGGAATACTACCAAGAATCTAACCAGGAGGTCCTAACACACATGGAAAATAGTGCACATATCATGCGCATACAGTTCAGTGGGTTTTCACAAGCTGAACACATTTTTGTAACCAGCACCCAGATCAAGAAACAGAACATTACCAGCCCCCACCCCGTACCCCCTCTGGGGTCCCCTTCCAGGTACTATCTGAATTCTGTCTCCACAGGTTAGTTTGCCTGTTCTTGAACTTTATATAAATCGAATCATAGAATTGGCACTTTTTTGTGTCTGGGTTCTTTTGTTCTACTTTGTGTTTGGGGGAATTTACTTATGCTATTGTATGTTGTTTTAATTTGTTCATTCTCCCGGCTGGGTAGAATTCCAGTATGTGAATTATACCACAGTTTATGTGTCTGGTCAACTGCTGGTAAGCATTTAGGTGGTTTCCAGTGTGGATGTGTTATGCAGAGTCCTGCTCTGCACCTCTGTGCTTCATACTGTTAGTGAACATTTGTGCACGTTTCAGTTGTGTTTGTACCTGGGCGTGACTTCTGGGTCATAAGGCATGCACACGCCCAGGTGTACCGGAGGTGCAAGTGTTGTTTGTAAAGAGTGTGATGATGAAAGTGGCCTGTAGGGGTAACGAGGGATGGATGACATCAGGAGTGAAGGCACGTGCTGGACAACTTGGGGAGATCGTCAGCCAAAGGGCAGAGAAGCCATATTATAGAAACCGGATGGAATAAAGTGCTTTCTGTCTACGGGATGTATCATGTAGGAAATACTGGGGGACAAAGACTGGAGCGGGTTGACTTAGAGAAGTTAATCACTGGTGTAGCCTTGGTCAATGGGGGCTTCTCAGTGCTGCCTGATTTTGTGAAATGGGGGCTTAACTCCAGAGGAAGCCAGCCCCTCCACACGGACTTTGCAGAGCCTCTGTGCCTGGGAAGAAGCCACTGCTATCAGGCTGCAGCTCAATAGCGTGGCAGCTTTGAGGACAGAGCCATGAGCTGGGGGCAGCAGAGACCCAGGCTATTTCTGTACTGACCACACAGGTGTCAGATACCATCGAAGGGGGGGGGCCTGTGCCTGGGGGGATGCCAGGGGTCCTTGTGACTCTTACTGGGGGCACCAGCCAGGATGCCCACTCCAGTGGCTCTCTCCAGCCCACAGCCTGCCCAGAATGACCACCCAAGGGGGGAGACCTCTGCAGCCCTCTCTGGGAATGGGCCTTTGCCCACTTCTTCTCGGTGTCCTGACCTAGCAAATAATGCCACCCTTCTCATCCCCTGTTTCTTCCAGAATGGCAGCAAAGACAACTCTCTGGACATGCTGGGCACGGATATCTGGGCTGCCAACACCTTTGATTCCTTCAGGTAAGCTCCTCTTCCTCTTGTCTGTGCCATATGCCTCTGGCTGGAATGCCAGCTTCTTGTCCTTATAGAAGCCCCGTGGGGTCTTTAGAGGTTGAGTAAATGGTGAGTGTTCACTGATCAAGAAGTGGAGAGAAACAAAGAGAGGGTGAAGTAGAAAGGATGAGACTGCTGAGGAAGGAGGTCAGAGAGAGAAAGAGAGAAGGAGATGGAAGGAAGGAAAATGAGGGGAGAGCATCCAAAGGAAAGAGAGAAAGAGAAGGAAGAGGTTGAGAGAGGGTTAAGGGGAAAGAGAAGACATGCTAACAGTCCAACTACAGGGAAGAGGGAGAGAAGGCAGAGGAGTGGACTGGTGATTGGAAGAGCAAAGGACAATGGCACGTGGCACACACCAGGCAACCTATGTTAGAGCCAGGGACAGATGGCTGTGACTGCAGATACCCGC